TGTGTGTAACACAAGACCTACCACTCTGTTAGCAGGGAAGTATCTGGCTTTTATTTTTCAGTGCTCCTGTTGGCTTACATGAAGGGAAATGCTAACTTGTGTCGTGCAATAGTGAGAGCTGGGGCTCGTCTTGGTGTTAACAATAATCAAGGAGTCAATATCTTCAACTATCAAGTTGCTACAAAACAGCTTCTCTTTAGACTGCTGGGTAAGTACCACTTGCTACAGTTGGAAGGTGTTTTTAGCTTATGCTTCTGAGATACTTTGGAGAAAGAACTCTGGACACCTGACTTAGATTACCGAAATTCCAGAGGGGCTGAACTTCTGAATATTCAACTTTAAATGGGGGGTAGAAATACAAATTTTTCTCCTGATCAACTGAAAAGTTGCCTAATGCAGACCTGTCAAATACTACTTTTTCTGCAAGGATAGACATAGAGGCTCCTGGCTGGTGTTCAAGTCTAATGTATCCTGAAATGTAGATACTGCTTTTTAACTTGTGCAGTATAGTCACCATGGATAATGTGGTGTTGGTGAAAGCAACTGTACATTGTCTACAAACAAGACTGCAGCTACTGCAAGAATAGTTAATTATACTGGATGCAATCTAAAACTGGAAAAAGCCTCCTTAATGTTACAGTGTATTCAAGAAGTGTCTGAGCCCATTTTGCCTTTATATTTTTGCCTCTAACAGATATGCTGACGAAAGAACCTCCCTGGTGTGATGGCTCCAACTGCTATGAATGCACTGCCAAATTTGGAGTCACGACAAGAAAGCATCACTGGTAATATGACACATCTTGCTGTGCTTACAAGGAAACAGATTCCTCTTCCAAATGTAGCTAGGCTTGTTCCTTCTGGTGGTTTAGGAAACCTCCATGTTAATGTAGGTGTGTAACCAGTAATCTAGCTGAAACATGCCACCCTGCCCCAGATCAGTAACTTGTGGTCTGCCTAAAATCTGTCTTAAGCAGTTTGTGCACTTAATGTTCTGTTTTGTTGGAAATGAGAAATCATGTCAAAGTTCCAGTATTGAAATGGAGGATTTGGATGCCTGCTTTCAGTGGTGGGGCTGACTTGCTCTGAAACAGGTGATGTTTGGGGCAGTTGCTGACAGCTTAGGTTGGGGTGCTGTTTGTAATGTGGAAATGATGAGTTGCATTTTCTTAACTAGTCTGAACTTCTACAAATTATACTGGGTTAAGTGGATGTTAAGCTAAGATTTATTTTTTTCTCTTAGCCCAGTGTTCCAGAGAAACTAAACATGCATCAGTTGAAGTAGTACAAGGTAGACTGACTAGTATAGAAGCAGCATGTGTTTTTTGGCATTAGTATTCAATTATTACATGAGAGATATCAGAAAGTACAAGAAAAATGTAGCATTTGAATTGCTAATGTACCTTTTAGTGATACTGTCATTGACAAAAGAATATCAAGCAGTAAAACCCTGGTGTTCACTATGTTCGCTTTTCTCCCACCTCTCTTCTACCAACAGCCGACACTGTGGACGCCTGCTCTGCCATAAGTGCTCAACAAAGGAGATTCCTATCATAAAATTTGATCTGAACAAGCCAGTTCGAGTTTGCAACATCTGCTTTGATGTCCTGACTCTGGGAGGAGTCTCCTAGTATGCTGTGGAAGTGAAGGGATTCCCAGTCAGTTCTCCTGACAGCAGCTCTGCTTACAAGCCCTCTGGATAGGGAAGAGGAGGCCTATACATGTCTTCTGCAATAGACTGAACTAATTAAGGACCCTGTTATGATATATTCCGGTATAAATGACTTTGTATGACTGTAAATGTATTGGGCTGTGATAGACTTCACTAGGAATTCAAGTGGATCGTTGGAACCAAGTGACAAAAGAATTTAGACCCTCTTCTAGTTGCAGTGCGGTATGGAAGCTAAAATTGTTAGGCCGATGTTTGAATCGACATAAAACAGGTCTGTCCTTGACATGGTGCTTTGCACTGAGCTACTCTATTAAGTCCTGTGGCTTTCAGGCTGCTTAGTAGAGATGGCATTAAGTTTCAGGGTAACCAGGTATCTATCTTTGCTTTGTCTTAAAGATATATGTTCCCTTTCTCTAGAGAAGACTTCTTGTGAAGCTAGACTGAGCTGTTGCAACCACTGTTCATTTCAAGAAACTCTTCAAAAATGGGGGTAGTTGTAAGCATAGCTCAAGAATTGTGGCCTTACAACAGAAAGCTTTACAACATCTGATGCAAAGCAGTCAGAATTGCAGATCCACATCTTGATACCTCCTCAGTAAATGTCTCATTAGCTTTAGCATGTTCAAGAGAGGTGCAGGATTGTTTTAGCCAGTAAATACTCTTGCTTGTACCTGCTAGAGCTGTCAGTCTACTTTGTTGCACTTTCATATTTACATTGCTAGTCCTTCCCATTCATGAAGCTGGTATAAATGAACGTAAGTGTGCTGAAAGGCCTAAGCATATGCTAAATCAAGAAACACTAAAACTGGTTAAGTAGTCTAACTCACAATACAGCAATAAATGCTGAAGTGCATTTTGAATCCCATGAGGGAGAGTAGCACTTTCCTTTGGTTTAAAGACCCTGGTTAACTGCTGCAGGAGAGTCTGTAATCCTACCCATGTAGAATGTGCTGCCCCTCTAGACATGAAACTTGGGTCTGTTTTCAGCTGGATTGCTGGTGAGTGGGAGTGTATTTGGAGGCTTCCTATTAACATTAAGCCTTTGGCCCTGAAGGAAGGATTCTGAACTGGCAGTGTGATGCCAGGCACTTGGATTAAGATGCAGTGTTTTAATCCAGGCTGGTCATGCTCTCTTAAACATGCTGAATCTGTAAAAATCCAACACCACGTTGTCTAGGTAAACAGGAAAGTACTTTGCTGATAGACAGGGTTATGATTTGGTGGGCAAAGGCTTCAGTCAGGAAAAAATGTGTACTTAAGCAAAACTACATGCCATGGTATGGCTGTTTTCATCCCAAGAGATGAACCTAGTTTAGACTCAGATCAGCATTCCTCATCTCCATGAACTGTTGTGCATTTACCTAATGACTGTTATCTCCAGTGTACATTATGGACAAGTTGGTGACACACTTGGAGTAGTGGCTTGTCAGTCTTAAAGAGTAAGATGAGATGATAAACCAGACCGCTGCTTTTATGGGAGACTTGCTTGAGGTTTTTCTCAGACTTGTACAAGAAAAGGATGGAAAGAGGTGTAATTGCTGATACTTGCACGATGAATTTCACATCAAGTCTCACTTGATCTGCACTTTGATCTTCCAATAAGTATATAACTGGAATCTCACCCTTGTAACACTAGAGAAGAATGATGAACGATAATACAAATTTGCTTCCCTGTTTAATGTCTGCTGCTATCATGTTCCAACAAAATGCCCTGGGTAGCACAACTGGTCTCTATAACAGTTAACCAATACAAATGGTGCATCTCTGGCATAGTATTCTAGATTAATGAGATGGAAAATACTGGTATCCAAAGCATTTAACTTCAACTTAGTTTGGGGGTTTTTGAATGAAATAGATGATGGAAAACATTGTACTTCTAGTCCATTGCTTTCTGATGTTTCAGAGTATCACTGGCTGCAAGTCTCTAGCAGTGAAAGATAACAATGGAGAGACAGTGCTTTTGGTGAAAGAAGTCTTGACTGTAGTGTATCCCATGATAACATGTTGACTGACTTCTTGGTTTGGAGCTGCAGAGCTGTGGAGTGGTAAGTGTGTGCTCCCAATACTGAAAGATAGTGGTAGAGGAGTGTCCTTCCAAGGCCACAGCCTATGGGCTTCAACTTAATTGGAAAACTGCATGACATGTAATTGCTAAAGCATTTAAACTTTGCTTTTTTCAGTGACTTCTCTGATGGAAGGGGCAAGGGAACAGGAGCTCAGTTCTAACAGAATAAGCAACCTTTTAAATGACAAAAAATGTAGATCTTGTGAAAATTCAGCTTAACTGAATGGCAAGTTTAAGGCTGGCTAGTTGCTGTTTTTAAAAGTAGCAAAACTACCTGAAACTCTGGGAAGGATCTGGGAAACCACTGTAATGCTTCTCATTTGCTGTTTACAGCAAATACTGTACCAGCTTTCTTACTGAAGTCAGAAAGGAAAATTAAGGTTATTGATAAACTAATGTACAGCCTGAAGTGTTCATTAAATTTAAAGCAACTACATTCAGTGAATTTGATCATTTTAAAGTGCCTTTGAGATTTCCTTCCAGCCAACTCTAAATAGCTTTCTGCCAGAATTCAAGGGCAAAAGCTCACAACTTGAACCAAAATCCACGTTAGTTCTAGCTCAACTGAAGAGGTTGACCCCACCAGACAGCTGGTGGTGCTCAATCCTTTGTGCACTCTGCCTAGTATTGGTCTGAACTCTCAGACCCCTGAGATTTTTGGGGGGAGTTTTGCTGGCAATGCTCCACTGCAGGGTATAGATGTGAATGGAGGCACTTGGTAATGTAGTAGTGGTCAACACATTTCTAACTCTATAAACAACTACTCTTCCTTTTTGTAGCATACTACAGTTGTGACCAAAAACCCCACCCCTCCTACCCCTGCTGTCTTTAAGTGGTATCTATTAACTTGAGAATCAAGTCTGCCAAGCACTGAACAAAAGGGTAAATGGAAAACAAACTTCTGTCCCTGTCAAACCAGGCTTCAGGCACTTCAACACGGCTGCATGGGAAGTCTGTGGTGGTTCATACTGTAGCTTTTTGTTCTGAGACTGGATTCCTTTTGATTGCAGTCATGCAGCACTTACTTACACAAGCACAAAATGTGGTCTGGCTTAAGTTCTAATCTGTGTATCTGAAAAAGGTGTAGTCACTGTTTCACACCACTAAGTGGAGTGAGGATGTTGGTGTTGAAGGTACTAACAGCATAGCAAGTTGCTGGCTGAAAGCTGACAGATGCCTTAATGACTTCCCGTGCTGGCTTGTACAGCTTCTCACCTAGTGCTTATGAATTAACATGTAACAATACAGGAGGCCAGAGCTGGACTCTTTGTAGATCAAATGTTAATAGGCAAGTCCTCTTCTTCCTGTAACCAGTAGAGTTGGGTACTGCAGGAAATTAATCTCTAGAAAAATCAAAGCTTGTATGAGTGACAAAAATAACTCTGAACCTTCTAATACCCTCTGAAATAGAAAAGGAAGTCTTAGAACAATGGCATTTTTCTGCACCGTTTGTCTGGAGTCATTGTAAAAATGTATTTTTCCAATATGCATTACTTTGTTGTGTAATTATTCTACTTGTAATAAAATGCATAACTAGATAATGCATTGTGAGGTGGAAACCTTGTTAAGGAAGTATTTTCTATAGATGGCTGCCCCACTGCAAGCTCCTTTACAAGCCACGAGGAACACTAGGGATATAACATTCAACTGGGCCTGACAACTTTATTTGTTCTGAAATTATTCCAGGTACTCATTTTAATGTTGTGGAACTGCTACAACTGTTGTTTTGGCTGACAAGGTCTGGTGTTCTAGTTTGTACCATGTAGTCATCTCGAATGCCTTATACTAAACTTATCTGTAATCATTCTTATGGAACAATCTGAACTTCCTACAGCCAGAGCTGGTTCATGGAGTAAACTGGTTCTCAGCTCAGATGCATTAGTCTTTTATTAATAAAACTTACTAAAGTATGGGTGAATGGTGAGTTTCATTAGAGCACTTTCTATATTTACTTGCTCCTTGTGTAACTATCACTGTTTTCTTCCCACCCTCTTTTACCATGGGAGAATCCAGCTGAGCTTTTGAATTAGAGTAGAAACAAGATAATCTTGGAGCACTTCAGGTCAGGAAGGGAGTCTCCTTGTTTAATAGATGACTTATTCCTAGGGCAAGACAAACTTCTCCCACCTAGACTGGTTCCAAACACTAAACTAAGGAATAAGCTGTGAAATGGCTTCAACCACCTTCTAACTTAAAGCAATACTGTCCCATCTTGCTCTCCTGCCCTCCTTCCATTTAGCGCTTAAGATCAAAACCATCCCCTCTGTATTTCAGCACTACTCCCATAGTGCTTGAGCATTACAGTAAAATGAAGCTTGCTTTGAAGTTATGTAGCTGATACACCTTCACTAGGACTCCCAACTTGTGACAGTGACTTGCCCTTATAAACTCCTTTTTACAGTATTTAATACTCTGAAATTTGCTAGAAGTTTTAAAGACCCATTCCTGGGGATGGTTTGACCTTTAAAGGCCAAGTTCTTGTTAAAGAGGTGTCCAACAGCAAATGCCCACTAAGTTGTGGAGACAAGAAAGCACTGCTTTGCAGCTCTTGCCTGCAGATTTTACACAGCTTTAACTGTTCTGTGAAACATGCCCGAAGATGCCACAAGCCCAGGGCTGAGCTTCAGTTCTAGAAGTGTAACTGGGGCCTTAACAGTGTGTGAGGCTTTGCTGCCACATGGCTACACCTACCCTGTGGGCTCCCAAGAGCTGGTACCTCTGCCTGGAAGGGTCTTAGAGGGCTTTTCTTCAAGATGGTGGAAAAGAAACACACAACCATGTGGGGAAAAAAAAACCCAAACATATTTATTACAACAACACTAAATGTTTAAATTGCCATGTGGCTCCCATCCACCGCAGCTACAGCCTTGTCTGATCTGAGGTGAAAGGGCTGTGGTATGTCCTGCTGCTGCAATGAAGTGATCACTTGCTCCTGTAGCCTTACTAATTGCTTAGATGTGTGGGACCTTCTTTAGAAGTGGTGGAAGCTCAGAACTAACTCAGAACAGGTGGCAGCTGCCTTCAGAACTGAACATACCTGTGCTGCTGCTGGACACTGTGTAATCTGGGTGTCAGTCCCAAAGCTGCAGCTATGCCTGACACTGATTCTAACAGTAGATTCTATGAAAAACAGCAACTGCTTCCCTGCAGCCCAGTGTTTCTAGCACTTAGGTGTTCCCTTCTCCTTTTCAGCCTCCCACAAAAATGGTAGTAGCTTGCTCTGCTCTCTGGGAGTCACTCATTACTGAATGCCACCGGCTGTAATAAACCAGATGGAGATTTTAAAGGAGCTGGGCCTGGCGAGGGAACATCCAGCCTCTGGTTACAGCCTGATGGGCACACACCAGAATGGAAATGGTGGCTTACAGCAGGATGGTCAACATAGCTTCTGTTACTGCCTACTTAAAACCAGCAATTCCTTGTCTCAGTAGCTTGAAAGTAGTGTCTCAGGGGACCAGGATGGTGAGGTTAATATAAAACAATGATTGTCATAGGTGGTTTCTACTATCTTCCTTGCACAGTATCCAATACAAACACTACATGAAGAAATACAGCTCTGACCTTTGCCTTCTGTACATGAAGATTTTGATAAAGCCTGTGTTTAACTAAACTGCGCAAGTTCCTAGATACTACATACCTTAATTATAGGAGAAATTAATGCTTCTCCCTGCTAACCTTTAAACTCTGGAGTACATCAGGTGACTAAGAAGGAGCATTAGCACTACAGTGCAGCAGGCAGAGCTGAAGCGACTGGAGGACTGCATAAACCGAGGTCAGTGATGCTGCAGCAGCTCCTGCACTCACTGCCTTAAACACAGCACGCTGTACCTGCCGTTCTGCACACAAGCAGCTATTTCCTGACAGCACAAGAAATTGCCTTTTAAACATAATTCAGGCTGTGCATCTTACAGTTTGTTGCCAGATGGAAAAATACCATGGGAATAAAGCACTAAGAAAGTATCCCATTGCTGATTTTTTTAGCCACTAACTTGGCTAAAGTGTTTTCTCCTCCTCTCATCTCCCTGTGTTAAGAGAGTCACAAAACACAGGAAACTGTTATTGCTCCCTTTGCACAGGCAGGTGGAAGGGAATGCAGCTGGAGCTGCCCCCCCAAAGGGAAGCGTTTTGCTGTGGGGCTTGGATGCGGGGTCACGGCACCGTTAGGACACACTGCTCGGCCAGCGGAGGGCAGCCGTCGTACTCCTCCAGGTGAGGGTTATCCAGGTCGCCTCTGTCGCTGTGCTCGGCGGAGTCTGGCTGGCCCCACGGGGGACCAGCAGTCCTCACACACACACAGCCACTCCCCCTCGAACCAGGGCGGTACAGCTTCCGAGGGACTCCAGTCCAGTCTCTGTTCACTCCCCCACTAAGAATATAAAATGAAAACAAATTACAATTCAAACCCGTGAAAATGCTTCCAGCAAACTGAGAGTCATTAGATAAAAAAACAATCCGGGAGAGGTAGAACAATACACTCACTGAGGTAGACTTTGCTCCCAACAGCCAACATCCCACAGCTTTCTGATACCTTCTTATTGGCTGTGCTTCAAAAACCTGTGGCCTGAACTTGGTTTCATCAGTGCTGCTACATGCTCTCACCCTTCTGGGAGCAATCAACTTCTGCTTCCCACGTTTCTATTGCTGGAAAAGGAATCATAGCCTTATGTAGCACAGTGTGTCTAATGGCAAAATGCCTTTTTTGGGGGTAGCTAATTGCTCACAGATAACCACACACCGCCTTCTGTGCCGTGACTGAACACTGATTTTAAGAACTAGGGCAAAAGAAAAAATAAAAAAAGTCTCAATTTCTTCTACAGCTACTTCATAGTGTCTCTTTATGGGCCAAGTCCTGCCTGTTCCCCTAACTACTCCATCTTTTAAGCCTGTAAACTCTTACACAAGAGACTTAAAACACCCAGTCCCAAGGCCACACCCAAGCTCGTTCGCATGTCGAAGCGGATCCCCCAAGGTAGGCAGTGCTGCTGGTGTACGGAAAGGAAGACTAAGCATTTTGCAGTGTGGTCTGTGAAATGATTTAATCTTAAAACAAAATAGTTCCTAAACTGTGAGAGGAATACAACTAAATAGGCCAAGTAGGACATGACTATTTGAGGCTCAACCTCATTTTTATGTGGTTTTAAGTAAAAACTGTTGTGGCAGTAGCCTGTGAGACAGGCTGTGAAGCTGTCTGAAAAACATCAGCTAATCCTTGCATTCCTGACAGGTGAGAAAACCTGATCAAATGCAGCAGATGGTCCTAGTGGGATTTCTGTCCTGTTTTCCTGAGAACAGGAGGATCACGTGCAATGTGGCAAATTCTGAAACCTGATTTTGATTCCAGTGTGACAGAATAGCTTTTGCTTTGGAAATAAAATTCCTAAAAGTATCAGTGATCAGGACAAAAATTTATTTTTCTTTTACCCGCTCACTGGGTCAGGGAGCAGAGGTCCCCTCCGCTACCTCACACTGGAGAACATTTTTACTAGTCCAACCTACACCTCTGGGCAAGTCCAGCCTGGGTGGAGGCTATCAGCAGTTGCTGTTACTGGCAGGGAAAATCTAGTGACTGGTTCACACAGCAGCAGCCGCCCAACCAGGCATAGGGAGAGCTGCTCCCTGCAGGTTGGCTCTGCCTCTGTCAGAAAGCACAGCCCGAGGAATGCAGACGGGGAAGGGACCGTGCCTGGCACATCCCAGCGCTTGGCACGTTAGGACCAACCTACGCCCTTCTGCAGAGGAGTCAGCAGACCTGACCTACAGACCATGGAGCACGGTGACTGCAGGAGCCAGGACATCTTTCTACACCACTCCTGCTAGGAGAGGCAATGACAAAGCTCAGGGCATCCAAAAAAAGGGCAGAAATTGCTGCACTACAAAGGGTCCAAGCATGACAGTGGGAAGGCAGTTTACCTCTGTCTGGAGCACCAGAATCGGCTGCCCTTAGCAGAGCTCCATTCAGAGTTGCAGGGTGGAAACTGCTGCTTCCTTTGCTCACTTTCTGCTTGGAGCTTCTGAGCTTCCTCAATCGCAGCCTCAGCCTCCCTCAAGGCTTCTGTTGGTGCCCCGTTTTCATCATAGAATCTGCCCACCAGCTTCCCTGGGAAAGGAGAACAATTAAGACTGCAGTGTTTCCAGGCAAGGAAAATGAATAATCCTTTTTTATTATTATTATTTTTAAAATTTGTTATTTAAAGACAGAAAAAGGAGGATCCCACCATGGTGCAATTTTAAAACTTAACTGAGCTTACATCCCTTCCATTCTTGGATTACACAGCAATTTACCCATATTAATAAATCCACACAGGACAAGCTTAGGCACAGACTCATTAAAGATCAGAAAGTCAATGCCACTTTCAGCTGCAGAACCCAGAAGTCTTTCCCACCCATGCACCTCATTCCCAAAAATAGTTTCCTTGCACTGCTGCTCCTACTGTCTCCAGAGTCCTGCTAATTTCAGTACTTGCAGCACTGACTCCATGCCTTTTGCTCAGCAGAGACAAGTAAAAGCAGGGCAGAGAGCTGCATCTCACAGTCCAGGGCAGAAAAACTCTTAATCTTTGCCTTAGAGGAGAGTGGAGACCAAATTAGGTCTGATTCAGCAGCCCTCCAGCTTGCAGGTTTCAGTATGCTGGTCCCCAGCAGCCACCTCAGCACAGGTGAAAGCCCCTCACCAAGGTGGCTGTGTTGCAGACCAAGCCTGGCACTACACAGCGCTGCATCCATATCCGTGCTGCAGGCCTGCCCTTCCCCACCCACAGAGTCACAGAATCATCTCGGTTGGAAAAGACCATGAAGCTCCTCCAGTCCAACCATGAACCTCACATAGACCGTTCCCAACTCCCCCAGATCCCTCAGCGCTGGGTCAACCCGACTCTTCAACCCCTCCAGGGATGGGGACTCCCCCCCGCTGCCCTGGGCAGCCCATTCCAACGCCCAACGGCCCCTTCTGCACAGAAATCCTTCCTCAGAGCCAGTCTAATACCCGCTCTAACTCCACACGTGTTTCCCTTGCGTGTGATCACCGTGGCCAGAACCACCTACCCACGGGGTCGTAGTTGTCGCTGTAGAAGGAGAGCCAGCTCTGGATGGCGAGCATCTCTCCTGGTGACAGCGCCGAGACGTCGTCCACCAGCCCCGCCTGGGTGAAGTCCCCGGTGGCAAACGCTCTGGTGGCGTCTCTCCCTGTGGGGTGGGCGGGCAGGCGGTGAGCCCCCACGGCCAGGCCCTGCTTGGCCAAGCCCCCAGCCAGGCCCAAAGGCAGGGAGGTCCCCTCCCCCCCGCCCCACTGGAGGTACCTGCGAAGCCGCTGTAGGCACCGCCGGGGCCTTTCTTAATGGTCATAGTTTACCAGACTTAATTTTATTGTTGCTTTTTGCAATCAGCAGTGGAATTGTCAAGTATCTATTCGGTATCCCATTACTTATTATAAAGTAAGAGTTTTGGAAAACTTGTAAGAAAGTAGTGTAAGAGAGTTCCCCCTCCACAGACAGGTCTTAAGGTTTTAATGGTAGAAGGGAGTACTGTTTCCTTTCTGCTATGGGAAGGGTTGTGGAGAACTTAACATCTAAAACATTTAAGCTTTAGCTTTACTCTCTAAACTAGCATTTAAAATGCAGTAGAATACCCAGTTGGGAATTTCACACTCAACTCAGAAAGTGGTTGTCTGAATTTCTTGCTGCATGCAGTTCCTGAGTCTCACCAGTGACTTCCTTCTGCTTTTGTATTGCTCCCGAGTAGTAGAATAACTTGGCAAAGTGTTAAATCACACATACGCTACTTGAAATCAGCACTGACATATTAACAAGACTGCTGAAAACTGGGAAGAGATTAAATTTGTTGTACAGATAGGTACGTTTGTACCAGACTGTTTTAAGTATCTTGCTAAAATGTGACCTCCATTTCCAGTTCCTTTACAGGAGCCAATACAGAACACTTCTTCATTTGTACCAACAGTAAGAGTGAAATTAGTACATCGGGGTTCTTTCTGTTAATACAAACAACTGAGCTTTGCAGGCTGCAGAAATATTTGGGCATTGTCTGAATTGCACATCTTCCTCTGCATGAAGAATATGGTGGTTTGGGGATTTTTTTCCTGCTCTCGGGAGCGAGGAAAAAACTTGTCAGAGGATTTGTCATGGTAAAGATATGTGGTCACATCTAGTCTGTCCTGCAAAGTTGAGATGTTGGGAGTTGTGTGGAAAACCTTGATGTCACTGTTTCTATAACTGGCACTAGCTCATGGGCTGTAGTATTTTAGATTCCCGGGATGTATTTTACCCTGATGAGAAGTTAGTTTGTGGGTGGCTGGTCAATAGGTTTCACTTTTTCATGTTTATAGAATCCTGTCTGGCATAGACTGTTTTGATCTGCCCATTAAGTTTTTCTGTTCTCAGGGTGGGGCTTGTGAACAGAAACTTGAGTGCTTTATGGGCAAAATGAGCCTCTGTTTAAATGCAAAATTTTCTAGATAAACTGAACCTCTGAATCCTTTTTTTTATTTATTAGTGCTTCAGCAGCTATTATGTAATGTATCCAGCTTTTGCTTGAAACATTAATGCTGCAGTTCTGCTGAGAGCAAGGGATGGCATGCGGAGTTTTCCTAAGTCACACTTCAGATCTTCTGTCATGCTGTCCAACTCCTGAGCTGTCTGAGAGATGAGGGGGTGATTTTTTCCATGTGCTGTGTTTCCTAGCCATCACCTTTGCCCAGGAAAGATGTTTCTTTTTTATTTCTTCATGTTTGGGGTTGAACTGGGTAGGAAGTGGATGGACTTAATGCTTTTGTTTAGGAGCAGAATGCAGCGGGATTGTGGTACAGAGTACAGTTTGCATACTGATTTTTTTTTTTTTTTCCTTTTTTGCCCTGTTGCACAGGGAAGCTTGTCTGAGCAGTGAAAATTGTGTATGGTTTTTGTCAAATATGGAGTTTAAGTTATACTGAACAGTCAAAAATAATTTCAGAGTTCTAGGGTCAGCGCACTCTCCTGAGACCATAGTAAGAGTTTAAAAATAAGATAGCAAAATACTGCATTAAGATGCAAAGACAATCATATATGTGGTAATCTTTACTTACAGGAGAGTATAAGAAATTGGTTTAAAGTAGCTATCAGCAGATCCAGCCTTGTCACATTGTGTGTGGTTTGTTTTCACTATTATCACAAAACTTGCTCTCTTGTTCACTTCGTATTTTAGTATTTGCACAGTCTGACTTCAGTTACGAGGAGAAAAAGTCACAATGTCAGGAACGGCATGGTGCAAAACTGTACGCCGACTTGTTTTGGCAACAGAGTTATGTTTGTTAAAATTAATTCCCTGAGTATTGTTGTCCTCAAGCAAAGGTCTTCATTTTTTTGCTTCGGTATCTACCTGATGCCCAGCATCAGTCATCTGTACTAGCTGTGGTACCTTCTGGATGCCCAGTGCCAGTCCTTTTTGCTACTAAGAATAACTTTGTAACAGGTGATTATTGTTAGCATGGGTTCAGCTCTATGTTTAACAAGAGTTGATAAGACTGCTAAGCTAAAATTCAGCTCTGTGCTGTAGAAGTGGCATTGGAGCTTTAGTCAGGTGAAATACAGCATTTCGATTCTGTTGTCTTTTAGGACTTTGCTCTCATTTAAGTGGTGTAATTATGTCATGGTTAATTGGCAGGTTATATTTTGATCTAGTCATTTCAGATTATTTCTCTCTAGGATAGGGCTTTTAATGGTACATTAAGGTTGATAATCAGGTAGCAAACCAAGAGATTCAAGCATAAGACTCTTCCCAAACAGCAGTGGTTTCTTGACTCTCTCAGACACTTGTGAGATGATCTGGTCTTAGAGGCCAAGTTTCCTTGGCCATGTAGCTGAACTTGAAAAATCAAGTTCAGGTCCGGGAGACTGAAGTCTTGATCATAAAGAAATAGCTTTTGTAAGTGTATTCCCAATTTATATGAATAAAAAAGTGGATACTCCTGAAATACTGCATTTGGGGGGTGTACGCTCAGGTTTTATTAGCAATTAAACAGAAGCTTGTTTCAAAATTAACTACAATTGTAAAAATATAGGGTTTTTTAATAGTAGTGTATCACTGGATCATGAGTTCTCTGAAGTGGCTAGGTAAAAAAATTTGTATTTATGAGCTTGGTTCTGGTTTATAGGCTTAGCTGAATAAAAATACCTTGTTACTTTTGTTAGTACAAAGATGTGAAATGCATAGCTGTGTTTGTTACTTTTTATACATGCTCAACACTATTTTATATGTTAAAAATTTATCCTGAGGTTAAAGTTAATAAAGCTGCCCATGGTTCCCCTCGATAAGAAAAAAAAAAAAATCTGTTCTAACTCCATTATTTTCACAGATACTTTGATAAACTATGTTAAACTGGTATTTTGTGTAGGAGGACGGTATATGGAAGGAAATACACGTTTTAAAAAAATATTTTGGTTGTAAGGACAATTTCTTAAATAAAGGAAATCTTTAAAACCTGAAAGAATTTGAGTGGATGCAGTGAGTTGGATGCAGCAGTAATGAGTAATGGATGGTATGGCTTTTAGAACTAACTCAGCCTTTAATGGAGGAGCTTTTTAGTGTTCTTTTGTGGGCACCTTGTTTGTTGTCACAGATGTCAGGTGGATGGATACTGCTGATTCACCGGTACAGATGATGTGCTGTCTCCACCTAAGCATAACTACAGTTGACTTTTATAGGAGAGCAGTGCAAATGCCTTAAAACCTGCTAAAGACTGCAGATTTCCAGCCAGGCTGTTTCCTGTTGTCATGAGTTCATACTATGGAAAATGGATTCTTTTGGTTTTTATTTAATGATGTTATAATGTTTATCACTATGGTTTTTATGAAACACCTTGAATTCCTTCTTGAAGTAAATATGCTGAGATAAATTTTCTTTTTATGTTCCTCTTCAGGCCTTTGCACAATTTGATGCTGAAGGAGATGGCACCGTAGATGTGGAAAATATGCTGGAGGCTCTCAAGAATTCTAGTGGAGCTAATCTTCAAGGGGAGCTTAGCCATGTAATCAGGCAACTGCAAGCTTGTTCCCTGGTTCCAGGTATGAGAGCAGAGTGACAAAACAAATGGTTTACCAAGTCCTGCCCTATACAAGGGGTGCTGCTTCAATAAATTGCTTTAATAGTGTTGCTTGTCCTAATCTTATCAAAACCATACTCCAGGTCATTCTTGCTTCTCTAGTGTCAAACAAGTGAATTTGCTGTAAACTAAACATTTCCCATAATTATATCCAACTGACTTTCATAAATAATCAATATTTTCTTCTGTTTCTGAATGGGGGGCTTCTTATCCTTCTTTGGTTTATCACATAGACAGAAAACAGTTCCTTGTGAAATTTTGGTGAGTCCCTAACTAGTGCAGTCTTGTACTTGGTAACTGGAGGAATAAATCCTCCACTGAGTCTGTTTCAGGTGATGAGTCATACACTTTAGTATCATTATACTGTTATTTAGCATTTGAAATCCTGATAAAACATAATTCATGTTTTATAGCATATAGTTTGGAAAGTGTCAGTTTCCAGGATTTGATTTCTGGGATAAGTATCAGTTACTGACTTTCCTTCTAAGCTTTTGATGATAAGTGGCTAAAGGGGATTTGCCTTAGAGGATCAGACAGGAAGGGTTAGGATTGGCTAGTAGATAAGTCAGAGGGGAGTACTTATGGAGTACTGTTCTCTGCATCTAAATGCACCATGATTCAGAGTACTGCTGTTCAGGAGCTGAGATTTCTTCTGAAGTCTAACAAAAGCATTAGGCACCTCTTTGGGAATAATCCACAATGCCAGAGTGAGATGCTTAGCGTAGCTCAAGGAGAGTGATGCGAGTACATCAGCTTGTTAGCCAAGCAGCAGCTGTTTCACTTGGATATTGAAGGTAAGGGTTTGGAACTTTTGGGACACCAAAATAAGTGTAAGAAGTCAAGATTTTGGGTGATTGTTTTGAACCCCTTCAGGTATCTCAGGTAACTGACAAAAATATTTGTGCTTTTCACAGTCCTGTGGTAACAGTTGCAAACTTAAGCTACTCACGGTGGTGGAATGTCGTTCCAATATTGGCTCCCATGCTTAACTGGGATTTACCTAGTAATAAGATATAGAGCAGAAAAATGATGACTTGGTCAAGTCAGATGTTGCAGCAAAGATAGAAATAATGTTTCTTTCTAGGTTTTATAGATATATTTTCTGAATCGAAAGAGTGTCTTGGTCTTCATGCTTCAATGATACTGAGATTCTTGCACCGGAATCGGATTTCTAGTACTGCCATCCCTTACCCAGTGCTGGAGTACTTCAACAATATCTGTACTATGCGGTCG